ACGTATTCTACAATGTGTTGTTTGAAATAATACTCGAAGAAGTGCCAACAAAAAGAAGAAGACGTCAGAGTCATGCAAAACATCCGGTTTGGTACAACAGGGAACTGAAAAATTTAAAAAAAATCGAAAGCAAAAAGCTCACAAATTTAATAAAAATAAAATATTGGCCTTCACTACTATTAAAGATTTGCGATCAGTTTAATTTGGCCGTGAATATGGCATTTAAGGAGTATAATTTAAAAACTGAACTTGAAATAAAATGTTGTCCTAGGAACTTCTTCAATTATGTGAAAACCCAATTAAAATCTGATGAGAACTCGGATGATATATGCAATTTGTTTGTAAATTTCTTCCAAGAAATCTATACTACGTTTTCAGAAGAGGACTGTGACCGTGAATATTTTGAATCTTATCCAGAATTTTCAAGTGACATCAGCGTAAGTCAAATCAAGGTTCATGATATCTTAAAGGGTTTAAACAATTTAGATGCATCTAAAAGTCCTGGCCCAGACGGTGTTCCGCCAGTTTTTATGAAAACTTTAGCAACTGAACTTACTGCTTCATTATTTTGAATTTTCAATATGTCACTGGAATCTGAAAACTTCCCTAAAATATGGAAAAACTCGTTTTTAGTGCCTATCTTTAAATCAGGCAAAAAATCTGATATACGTTATTATCGTGGTATAGCCATTATCTCTTGCATTCCGAAACTTTTCGAGGCGATTATAAATGAAAAACTCTTCAAATTAAAAACAGAATAACTACTATGCAACATGGTTTCTTTAAAGGCCGTTCAACAACTAAGAATTTGCTACAATTAAATATAAAAAAAATGTAACTCAATTACCATTAGTAGAAAACGAATCCTACCTGATATAACAATCACTTTAGGAAACCAGATCGTAGAAAAGTGTGATAGAGTCAGGGATCTAGGTGTTATTTTGGACTCAAAACTTACTTTCACAGGTCATTATAACACAATTATTAACAGAGCTAACAACATGCTTGGTTTCATAAAACGTTTCTGTTATAACTTTCACGATCCGTATACGACTTAAACATTGTACATTGCTTATTTAAGGTCGATATTAGAATATTGCAGCATAGTTTGGTCTCCTTTTTCAATCACACACGAAGAAAGAATAGAGTCCGTTCAAAAGCAGTTTCTATTGTATGCACTCCGCAAGTTAGGTTGGACTGTATTTCCTCTGCCATCTTACACAGCTCGGTGTATGCTCATAAATATCCAAACATTAAAAGAGCGTCGTGAATTTGCTATGATTTCATTCGTAAACGATATCGTATCACATGGCATTGATTCAATAGAACTATTGTCATCCTTAAATTTATATACACCATCTAGGCATTTACGAAATAGAAATATATTTGCTACAAATCGTCATCGTACGCATTATGCCAAATTTGGATCCTTGAACCAAATGATGGACACATTGTAACCAGTTGGTTACAATCCGTGGATTTTCGTTTGTATGAGTTGTTGTTGTTTGGAAAATTCACGTAATATCAAAGACAGAAGGCAACACACAGCAGCGAGAGGGTTAGTACCGCTGCAAAAACACTCGAACGATACTAAAGGGAGGAAAATCGTAGTCTTAAGCTAAAAATGGAGAATGATCGGCAAAAGGCATGCGAGTGGCCATCTTCTAAAAGAAAAAAACCTTCTAATTGGCAGAAGTAATCAGGCGTCCGTGTAGACCGGTATCGTAAAGTGCAGTGCCATTTAGTGTACCCCCCCCCCCCCTTCTGGGGTTTCTGGGATGTTGGACTGCCTCCGTTCAGGTAATTTACTTTTTATTATCCTGTCGGAAAATTTCCCTGAATTATAACAATTCTCAAGACCTCGTACCGTAAATAAAACGGTCTTACACGGCTCGGCTCGGAAGTCAAGATGGCTTCGGAGCCTAATAGTAAATGATCCTCGATCGTCCGTCAGGGACGATTCCCTCAGACCGGTGGCCTTAATTGTCAAGGAGGGTCCCGTCTCGGCTCGACCAAGGTGGCCATGCCACGGTCAGCCAATTTTGTCAACGACGGAAGACGCCTGCCAGCCAAACGAGCCAGCAACGCCTGCTGAGCCGTATGTGGCTGATGAACGCCACCAGATCCGCCATTCTCCCAAAGCTGCAACAACACTGTCTGCAGCCCGCGCCGCAAGTTTCCGACCACACGGTAGTGCAGGAGCAGACGTGTGGGCCAACGCCAGCGTCGCGACGCCGTAGGAGATCCTGCTGCAGCAGTGAGTGCTAAATTTTGAACCCTCGCATACACGCCACATATATGTGAAAACCCACACCCACACGCCACAGAAAAGGGCAAATAAATGTTTTAGAAAATGTGAATATTCCTGTGTTTCATACTTTGTCCGCGTAGCCCCTCCGAATACCCAGTAACATGCCGGCCCTGCGACACAGTTCAGGGGTCTCATGCTACTGAGTTAGTTACCCGGGAGTGTCTGGTCATGCCATAGTCACAACATATAATAAGCACTGCGATAACATTGACTTTACAATGACAAAAACCAAATTAAAGCAATATTTTAATTTCTCGCATAACGTCAGCTAGAAGTAACTTTTCTTTTAACTTGTTCTCATGACATATTATAAAAAAAATATAAATAAAGTCAAAATTGTAAAAATAGCACTTAAGACCACAATTTTAAAACGGTCGACACTGATTGACGACAAATATATAAATAAGTTGTCGAACATTAGCTTCGGAAAACACAATTCACGATTCTTAATATAGATTTTTTTTGTAGCTACAATTTCTGATCCATCATTTCGAGAAGATCTGCTTTCATGGCACATTAGTGATCTTCGAAATCGCTGACAGCCTTCTTATTGCTCGATCTGGTGATCGTCCGTCTTTATCTCTGAATCACCGCTTAGGTCGATTTCTTCCAGTAGAAGCTCGATTTTACTCCGGCCCTCGAAATACTCCTTGTAAACTGCTTCTAGAACTTGAAGGCGAACTCCAGCTTTGCTTTCGTCTTTCAATGGTGGATAATGGTTCTGGACAAACCACTCGATTGCTTCCAAGGAGTTCAACAGCTGCCGTTCACGCTTCGTCAATGGACGCATATCAGCTACCATTTTGGCGTACAACCGTTTATCGTCAACTGCGGTTGAAGGTCATTCGGAAGGCTGATCCCAATTGGTCAGATTATGGTTTGTAATGTACTGCACTGTGCGGCGAATCCGGCTACAAATACCGAGCAAGTAAACAACCCAACCAAAGCCTGCAACAACAAACAGTGGCCAGAACCCGGGCCCGTAAGCTGTATGACCAGATGCTGACGAAACTTGATGGATGTGTCTTGATCGACGATGAAACCTATGCGAAAGCCGGTTCCAGGCAGATTCTAGTTTGTTTTCGCGGATCTTCTTATCTTGATAATTCATAGTCTCGAAATCTTAAAAACTTTCTCAAATCTGGATCTTGTTTTATTTCTGTTTCTAGGTTTATGATAATAATTTGTTTCGGTACTCTTCTCTTGTCTCGGTAATTTCTCTAGTATTCCAATATTTTTTTTTTCATTTGCTCTAGGAACTGTCTACACACTCTCCTTAGAATCCTCCCAAAAATTCTCTTGACCGTTTTCCAAGTACTCTCCCAAAACTTCAATGGAATTGATTCTTGAATTACATTTGATTTCTGCTCAGGAATTCTTTGAAATGTTCCTCAAAATTCTCATGGAACTCTCACCTTCTACGTTTCTTGTTTTTGAAACTTGTAGCATAAATAGCTATTTTAGAAGGAATCAGAGGAGTTATTAGCCTCTCCCTGCCACCTTTGACTCCCACACTCCACTATCCAAGTTCACAAGTGGCGGTGAAGGCATTTGAAGATATTTTTTCGATCTGGTTGAGGACTTTTCTTAAACCTGCTGGCATCTCTCAACCAGTGCCAAGAAAAATAGTAATAGATCGTTACATGGAATCCCTCCACATCACATTTTCAATGGCACTTATCACGCCATCTACATAGAAGTCATACAGATTTGAAAATTAAACGCGGTGGTGCTTGCTTCTCTGCAACAAGCATTTAGATTTATTTTGAGCTTCGTGGTTAAAATAGACCGCCAAATGAGGGCATGCGAAAATGCGATGTGGTAATGCAAATTGTATGGAAAAGGGATTCCGTCAATCGTGTTCTTAAATGTGTGTTCGGAGAACAACAAGTGAGTTCTAGGTCTGTTTATCTGTGGTATAGCCTTATTCCCGTTTGTTGTGAACGGTGAACGGAATTTCCGCACGCTAGGAAGAACCACGGTAGAGTTTACCTCATCGTCTTTCGTGATGGAATACCGCATTCACCTGATTTTGTCCGTTGTCCGTCATATTCGTAGAACTCGGATCGGGAGCAAAACGACGGGCAGAAAAGTTACGCTCTGTAGATAATTGTAGCATGAAAACATTGCAGTCGGTAGCAATTTAAAAGTTTGCGCCACAAACTGATTTCAACATTGTTTGAAGCCGTCAGGTCAATTTGAAGGGAAACAGAAAAGGGGCTTATCATTTTGAAAGCAGACATATTTAGTACGATACCTTGTCGGTATAACATTCGAAAAAAAATCTAAATAATAAATGAACAAATCTGATGAAAACGCCCAAACAGCTAATTCCTGTAATTTATCTACAACCTAATAAGTTTCCGCAAAATTAGGTCAGACAGTAACAAATTTCCCAAAGCCAACAAAGCAAATGATACCTCATGGAAATCACGGAACTTCCGTCCCTCGCTCTTCAAGGCGAGACCAACATCACACTCTACGCATTCCCCTTTCTCCTGATGGAACAAACTGCTTCCCATCGCCGGGTTGTTTATCTAAATCACCAGTTGATTTATGGGATATTGAGTCGAGTGGTGTTCTGCGTACGTGAGCCCGCCCTTTTTCCCTGCCTTCCATCCTCGCAGGACACTTATCACATTTTTTACTCAACCATCACCCATTTTCTTTTCCACTCTTTTTTTTCCAGGATGTCGATTACGAGGGTTTTCGCAAATTTTTGGACGCATTCCTAGACTGCGAAACGCCGGAGGAGCTTACGAGGCATCTGTTCATATCATTCCTGAAGCCGGCCCTGTATCAGCACAGCCATGGCAAGGCGCTCAGTCAGATGGCGGCGATCAGCAGTAATGCCGCCTGTGCCCCGGTGACGTCACACAACCGAGGTAATTGTGCGGGATCAGAGAGAATTTGGAATTCCAAACAATGCTGTTACTATTGCAGGTAGGGGAAATGACGGCATCGGCACTTCTTTACCTTTACCTTTGAGTGCTGATTCTTTGCATGAAGGTGCATTATATTCTAGAGCATCGGTTTGAAAAAAAAATTAACATTCTAAGACTTCATTTATCCCCTTGACGATAGTAGGTAAAGAAGTGACGAAGCCGTCATTTGCGATGGCGTTACCATGGTGCCGGGGTAAACAAGTTATTCAAGAACACTTTGCTTGGTACATTGGTTCGATTATAAAGGTTGAACACGAAAAAATCCCGACACATTAAAAACGCTGCCATAGAGTTCTCCAGATGAACAAAAGTGTGCGTGAGACCGCGCGCTCTACCCAAGTAACCAAAAGTTCTGCATTCCACGATTAAATTCACTTCCAAGTTTCAAATAAAGTTCCAACCGAACCTTCAAGTTCCATAAAGTTCTAATAAAGTTCCGAATGAATTTCAAGTTCATTCCGACAGTACTTTCAAGCCACGTGAAGCAATCCGCACAAGTCTTTATTAGTAACAAAATTTAATGTACGTAAATATGCAATGATCAGTGGCCCGAATAAATCATAATTCTTATATTTATGCAGTACATCAACATTCTATCCAAAGATAAAAAAAAATAATTAAAAGGTAATTTTCTGGATTCGAACCCCTGCGGGCAAACACCAAATTAAAATTCATCAAGGTGTTGTGTTTCGTATTCAAGTCAGTCAGCTGGCACTGAAAACTCTAACAGCTCACTTTATTATATCTCAGATGACACAGCGGTTCGTGCTGGGGCTCTCACGCAGAAGGACTGGGTTTAATTCTTAAAACAGCTCCAATTCTACTACTAATGCTGATAAATCAATACACATTAATACCTGCCTTTAGAAAAAAAAAAACTTTCATAAAAATGCGAATTAAATATAGAATGGCTTGCCGTGATATCGACTTGCTTATTTACGACTTTCTTATAACTGTTGATGTATGTGTTTAATGTTTAGTCAACCTTTACGTTTAAGTTTTAAATTAGTTCAAAATGCTTTCCCTTGTTCTCCCCCCAAATGATCAATAAATGTAAGCCCTAATCTCAAGTAAGCCGTGAGTAATCGGCCCTCGTTCTACTAACATTAGTTATAAGAAATGATATTCACTCTGTAAAAATCACCAGCATGTAAACACAATCATGTAAAAAATATTTGGCTCCGCAAAGCTAACGCATTTGAGCCTTGAAAAATAAATGGATTATAAAAAAATTGTACACAATCATGTAAACACAATCATGTAAAAAATATTCGGCTCCGCAAAGCTAACGCATTTGAGCCTTGAAAAATAAATGGATTATAAAAAATTGAATTGGTTATAGAGGACAAAAACCTTTTTTAATTTATGTTCTAAAGGGTGATACGGTCAAAATTTGGTCAAGGGAAAACGCGTGTAAATCGGTGAAATCGTTTATTTAAAAAATCAAATTAAATTTCTTTTTCAAGTTCAATTAGTATAAAATTCAGGAAAAATATTCAGTTAGGCTTCCGCTTTTCCAAATCCGAATTGCCGGGCCTTACGCTTGACCCCTGCCATCAGATTTTGTACAGCCACCTTGTCCACCTTCTTCGCCGCAGAAAGCCAGTTTGCCTTGAACTGCTGCTCGCCCTTAGCAGTTTTTTGGTCTTCTTTAGGTTCCGCTTGACAATAGCCCAGTATTTCTCAATTGGGCGGAGCTCTGGCGTGTTGGGAGGGTTCTTGTCCTTGGGAACCACCTGCACGTTGTTGGCGGCGTACCACTCCATGGCCTTTTTACCGTAATGGCAAGATGCCAAATCCGGCCAAAACAGTACGGAACAACCGTGTTTCTTCAGGAAAGGCAGCAGACGTTTATTCAAACACTCTTTCACGTAAATTTCTTGGTTGACAGTCCCGGAAGCTATGAAAATGCTGCTTTTCAAGCCACAGGTACAGATGGCTTGCCAAACCAGATATTTCTTTGCTAACTTTGACAGTTTCATGTGCTTGAAAACATCTGCTACCTTTCCCCTTCCTTTTGCCGTATAAAACTCCTGTCCCGGAAGCTGCTTGTAGTCGGCTTTGACGTAGGTTTCGTCGTCCATTACCACGCAGTCAAACTTCGTCAGCATCGTCGTGTACAGCCTCCGGGATCGCGCTTTGGCCGTCGTATTTTGTTTATCATCGCGATTTGGAGTCACTACCTTCTTGTAAGTCGATAGTCCGGCTCGTTTTTTGGCTCGATGCACGGTTGTAGACGATACACCCAGCTTATTTGCGGCTTCTCGGAGAGAGAGGTTAGGGTTTCGCTTGAAACTACCGGCAACTCTCTTTGTCGTCTCAGCGGCTTCCGGTTTTCGATTTCCCCCCGATCCAGACTTCCTGGCTGTCAACAAACGTTCCCCAAACACTTTAATTACATTTGTAACGGTTGATTTGGCAACTTTTAGCGATTTTGCCAACTTTGCGTGCGAGTAGCTCGGATTTTCGCGATGCGCGAGCAAAATTTTGATACGCTGCTCTTCTTGCTTGGACGGCATTTTGACAACTGAAGAGTGAATTCCAAAATCAAAATAGGAGCAACATTCTACACACACACACCTTCAAAATGAGGGGTGTTCAGGTTTTTTAAATGCAAAATTGAAAGAAATACGTCAAGTTGATATTGACCAAATTTTGACCGTATCACCCTTTAAAAGGTCCGTTCAAGTTCCGCCAGAAGCTGCTTAGAATGCTCTTCAATTATGATACCGGAACTTTCAAGTTCTTATAACGATTTAAAAATGAGGCTGCTTAGAATTCTACAGACCACCACCAACCAAGCTGCTTAAGCCACAAATTACTTTTTATCAGAACTTTTGGTTACTTGGGTACTCATTTTTATACATGGATGTTGGATTTTAGTGTTCGTGAGATTGCGCTTGGAGATATCTATTTAGGCATTTTTTTGGTTAAATTTTTCAAAATTTCAATGAATCAAGCTTCGAGCAATGGCCTATGGCAAGAAGGAAGGCTGAAACAATGGTCTTACAATAAGCATAAAGGCTGACTAAAAATAAATTGGTACACCCCTCACGCGCCGCTAGCACACCTCTAGTGTTAGGAATCGAACATCTTTGACAGTGGTTTGTTTACACTTCTAACCAACTGGTGCAAGTTTGATCAAAGTAGTCGATCGCGTTCAGAAATAACGTCAAATGGAACTCGAAAGAAGAAATAAATATTGTGGAAAATCCGGTGTGGTCCGGTTCCAAGCTGGCTAAAGTGCTGAAAATGCCGAGAACAACAGTTTGTCGAGTGATCAAAACCTACAAAGAAACCCTGAGTGTGGAAAGGAATCAGCGGACCTACGAAAAAACTGGAACCAGGGATAATCAGCTGCGCAGCAAGGTGTTGAGGTGCGTTAAAGCCAACCCCGGTCTTTTGATCCGAGATGTGGCCAAAAGGTACAACGTCAACTTTCAAACGGTGCGGGACATCCTTACCAGGGAAGGATACAAGTCGTACAAAGCCAGTAAACATCCGAACCGGCACATGAAGCAGAATTCCGTGACCAAAAAGCATGCAAGGCTCTTGTTCGATCGTGTTTTGACGAAACACAAGGGCTGCACTTTGATCGATTACAAAACATACGTCAAACTCGATTTTAAGCAGCTTCCTGGTCAAAAGTTTTACGTTACGACTGGACGTGGGGATGTGCGGGGAAGATTCAAGTTCGTGTTTGCCGACAAGTTCGCGAAGAAGGCCATGATTTGGCAAGCGATTTGCAGTTGTGGCCTGAAAACGGAACCACTTGTCACATCCTCGACGATGACATCCCAAGTTTACATCGAAGAATGCCTGAAAAAGCCGTCATCCACAACCGCAAGCATAGGGACAAAGTCATCTTTTGGCCCGATTTGGTCAGCTGCCACTACTCCAAGGTGATTCTGGAGTGGTATGCTGCCAACAAGATCGATTTTGTCCCCAAGCTAATGAATCCTCCGAATTGCCTGGAATTTCGACCAAACGAAAAATACTGGGCAATTTCAAAGCAGCTACTTCGACGAAGCGGCGAAGCAGTCAAGGACATCTAGCAAATGCGAGCCAAATGGAAGAAATGCGCTGATTCCGTGTCCGTTTCCACTGTGCGGGCGCTAATGGGCTCCATCAAGAGGAAGGTTCGAGATTTCGTTTGAACTGGAAAAATGTAACCATCTAATGCTGAAACTTTGAAGTTTTATTAAAAGTACTGTAAAACAACCATTAATGGACTTTTTAAACTTATTGAATCACGAATTACAGGTCTTTTTGTGCGTACTAATTTACTTTTAGTCAGCCTTTAATACCTACTGGTACAGTCTTTAATACCTCAATGTACAGCTGTTACATTGAACTATTAAAAATAAATTGCAATTTTAAACCCCAACAACATTTTCGTGTGCGGATTTTCTCGTTTTCAACCTTTACAGAAATTAGTATAAGGTCAAAATTAGATTATAACTTGGAAAAATACTGGAAGGATTTTCCTCCACACTGAACTGACGAATTGAACGGAGAGTGAGCATTAGGGTTGGTCACGTTTTATGGCGGATAACAACCGCCTGTTCCCCACTGCTCTTTCGATTTGTATTAAAGTTCCCAACAACTGTTCCAAATTTGAATGAAATGTACGATTAAGATTTGCAGGATAATTTTAAAGTTTGTATGGGAAAATGTATGGGAAACGGAGCAAAGCTGTTCATTAGCACGTCATAAATTCAAAAATGGCTAAATGTTGACCAAATGTAAGACTTAGATTGGGAAAACTAAGATGTGATCGCCAGACCAATCCGCATCGGAATAACCCATCAATTCAGGATGATCCGCTGAAATGCAGCTTCCAATCAACAGTACGACGCAGATATCTGACAACACGTTTTGCGGCCGCCCAGTCGGTCTCTGTTGGCTGAGATACTTTCCGTGCAAGAATCGATGTAGCT